TTTGTTTTAATCTGCTTAATCACTAACATAATGGTGTTAGAAACATTTTGAAATTTTTTGGAGTGTCTTCTAGAATTTTAAATGTTTAACTGAAAATGACTGCAAGAGATCCCATTCCAAAGAAAGGTGATCTGACAGAGTGGAGAAATTATTGAACCATATCGTTAATATCACATGTAAGGAAGATTCTGCTGAAAATTATAAAAAAAATGATTGGAGCACCAGATCAACAGAGAGCTGCAAGATGTGCAGGCTTAGTTTAGAAGAGGCCATGGTACTAGGGATATTATAGCTAATGTTAGATGCATCTTGGCTTAAAGCAGAGAGTACCAGAGGAATGTCTATCTGTGCTTCATTAACTGTGCAAAGATATTTGACTGTGTTGATCACAACAAACTGAGGCTAATTTTGAGAAGAATGGGAATCCCGGTGAGGCCATTACTAAATGGAGCAGACGTTTTCGGCCCCAGGGAGGCTGATCCAGTAAAGGTCTAGTGCCCAGGGCTGTCAAGAACATCACCATGCCTCGTTCTCGGAAGAGTAAGCTCTGTGCCCTTGGGAAGAACCAGCGTGTCCCAGCTGAAACCTGCGTTTCCAGGGGTGCTCAAGCATATGCAGTAGAGGAGGAAGTGTCTCCTTTGTCTCCTCCTTTAGAGGATACTCCTGAGGACTCCCCTGGTGCTGCCATGATGGAGGAGTTAGGGAGCATCCCAGCCATCACCATTCCTCCTGCTGATGGAGATGCCAAGAGCCAAGATGAGGAAATGCCAGGCCCCTCTCAGCCATCATCCTTCACTGATCTCCCAAGAAAAGATCCACTAACCAGGAAGGCCAGCATGCTGGTGCAGTACATGCTGCACAATTACAAGAAAAACGAGCCCATTTTGAAGGAAAACCTGCTCAAGACTGTCGACAAAAAGTACCAGGAGCACTTCTCTGAGATCATGAGAAGGGCCACCAACTCTCGAGTTGAAGGAAGCCAACCTCAGCGGGACCTCTATAACCTGGTCAGCTAGCCGAGTTTGAATAGTGAAGGGGTTTTAAGTAGTCGTATGGGTGTGCCCATGACTGACTTCTTGATGATTCTGCTGGGTATGATCTTTGTAAATGGTAACAGGGCCCCCGAGGAAGAAGTCTGGGAATTCCTCAAGGTGTTAGAGGTGTATCCTGGGAGGAGATACTCCATCTTTGGGGAACCTAGGAAGATTATCACTAAAGATTTGGTGGAGGAAAAGTACATTGTGTATCAGCAGGTACCCAACAGTGACCCTCCAAAGTATGAATCCCTGTGGGGTCTGAGGGCATATGCCGAAACCAGCAAGATGAAAGTCCTGGAGGTTTTGGCTAAGATTAATGATACTGTGCCCAGTACCTTTCGTTCTCTGTATGAAGAAGTACTGAGAGAGGAGGAAGAGAGAGCTCAAGCCAGAACTGCAGCCAGGGCAACAAATCCTGAGGCCTGAGCAGCTTCCTAGGCCATGTATCCAATTCCTCCTGTAACTACTAAAGTGTTAGCAGATACTGTACTTTGTGGTTGAAAAGAACTGTCAGTCTTTTAAGCAGTAGAAGTAGCATTGAGCTGGAGGGAATCAAATGTTTATTGTCTCTTTGTTCCTGTAGCACATGAGTAATTAGGATATGTGTATGAGTGTACTAACCGAGGATATTGCATAGATGCCACTCGACTACAACTTTTTTCACTTTGTAAGTTTATGAATGATATGGTCCATACATGCAATGCCATTGATCAGTTTTAACACTGTTGTAATGTTTGTCAGACGAGGAAGAAAATGTGATCGGAATGGAAATATTTGGGGAAATGTGAGAGAACCCCACACTGAAATCCTTGTGATCATTAAATGGAGAGGTGAAAAGGTAAAAGGGGATTTACTCTATGATTCGTGTGACTTCTGACTTTGAACACTAAAGATACACATATGGATATGTATAAGTGTTTTCAGGAAGCATATGCATAAATTTGTTCAAAACTATATGATAAAATAGGTAATAAATTATAAAAAAAAAGAATGGGAATCCCAGACACTTGATTGAGCTTATGTGAAACCTGAACTTGGGCCAGGAGTCAGTCTTCATAACAGAGTAAGGAAACACTGAATGGCTCAAAATAAGAAAGGATGTACACCAGGGATGTGTCCTATCTCCATACCTATTCAATCTATCTGCAGAACAGGTCATCCAGGAGGCTGAGCTCTATGAGGAGGAATGTGGCATCAAGACTGAGGAAGACTCATCGACAACCTATATCCCACAGATTCCACAACTCTGCTTAAACTGAAGAGAACCTGAAATGCTTCCTGTAGAAGGTCAAGGACTACAGCCTTCAAAATGACTGAAGCTCAACATCAAGAAAAAAAAAATGTTATCACCACTGGGCTGACTGGCAACATAATGATAGATGGTGAGGAGATTGAGATTGTTAACAGCTTTAGTCTGTTTGGCTCCACAATCAACACTCTCAGTACCAGCAGCCAAGAAATCAAAGAAGAATTGCTTTGGGGAATGTCTGCTGTGAGAAACCTCTCCAAAGTACTGAAGAGCAATGATGCAAGTCTGGAGACTAAGGTGCACCTGATCCAGGCCATGGTCTTTTCAATTACTTGCTATGCATCAGAAAGTTGGACAATGAGCAGGGATGATAGAGAATTAATGCCTCTGAGCTGTGGTGCTAGAGTATCGAATATACCATGGATTAGTAGGAGAGCAAACCGGTTCAGCCTAGAGAGCATGAGACCAGGCTGCTCCTTAGAGGCAAGGATTCTGAAGTTTCGTCTGGCATACTTTGGACTTGTTTCAAGGAGGGACTAGTCCTCAGAGAAGGACATCATGCTTAGGAGGATGGAGTGACAGTACAATAGGGGGAGACCCTCAATGAGATGAATTGATTCTGTGACTAGAGTAATAAGAGTAGTTGTATCAGAGAAAATGAAGTTGGCACACGGTAGAGAAGGGTTCAGAGCTGTAACATGCTCTGGACTACAACACCAGAGTTCCCTATTTTAAGAATAATAAGATATTAATATTTACCATCAGTCAAAATAACTCATGAGCTTGAACATTATTTCCTAGATAATTAAAACAATATCACATAAATAAAAAAATAAAAGCAAACAAAATCACATACATTATTATTTCTAAATTACCTTTTTGAACATCCTTTTATCTTTGCATGTGTGTATTTATTTATTTTCTTTTTTAGCTAAAAAAGAGAAAATAATAAATCTTTCCCACTGATAAGACAAATATAAGCTATGAAACAAGCCATAACACAATGAAACAACTACTATAGATTAAGTAATCCAAAAGCAATATCAATATGAGTCATACATTTTCAAATGAATTTCATCTATCCTGTTTGTCTCTAAAGAAGGGAAACTTGGTGTTGACATGTGAGTTTTTTCCCTAATTTTTTTTTTTTTATTTTGTATGGGTATACAGTCAAATCAGATCTGACTGGTACAGGAGGAGATTGCCCCTCCTCCTCCAGGACAGCATCTGGTGGATTCAAACAGCGTACCTCTGGGATTGCAGTGCAGCTTCTTGCCACTAGGCCACATGAGCTCCCTGACGTGGTTTTTTTAAAGATAAACCCATAAAGTTTATTTATTGATGAGGTGAGATATTTTCTATTCATATCCATGACCTTTGTGTTTGCAGAAACATAGAAAACATATTTAAAGATTTATTTTTAACTGAGATTAAAAGATACCAAATAAAACAAGAGCAAGGAATTATTTTAAATCAAGCTTTTATCATTTAGGTAACATTTTTTGCAGTAAGGAGCCATCACAATTCGACATTGCATAGTATTGAAATGCCTGACCTTTAAGGAAAACAACAAAAGTGAAGGTTCAAGGGAGGTAGGAGCATATATCACCAAGATTCCGCATCATTTTTTCCATGTGTGAACACTCTTCCAGGATTACAAATCACTAAAGACAGATATAGTCATCTGTACACTGTTTGAGGAAGACATTTCCTCTCTTCTGTTTCATATTTACAATTCCACTGGGTTCATAAAATGGTCAGATGCTACAGAGCCATGAACAAACTACAGCGCTTTTAATAGAGCCATTCATCTGCTCCTTTTGAAGGTTAGTGCTCTCTCTCTCGGGAGGGTTCTCAGATAATAAGAGGAAAATGAATGCCAGTTGAGCACCTGTAATCAAATTACTCTTAATTCCCTCAACTCTTGTCAGATATTGAGCTCCTCATATCGTTTCATAGGTGGGCATTTTACAGACCCCCATGGTGTAATACAGTTAGTTTCCTTTCTTGCTTCCCTTTCTCTTTCCTCTTTTTAGCTGCCATCCATCATGACTGGGTAAATTCTGTCAGGCGGAAAGTCCCAGCCGTTCAAACAGTCAGACACTGAGCCAGCCTGGTCTACCCTTGCACCTGTCATTTTCCAGCATTCAGCCCGTGAGGAAGAGGGCCAAAACAACGTTTATGGAATGAATGTGGCAACGTGCCCAGCATTTCAACAGATACAGTGTGGCCTCAGCAGCCATCCTCGTAGGATGCTGCTTCTCCTGAAAAGTCACAATTCACCCTATGCCCATATCCTAAATAAGGCACGACTATAAAATTCTCTCTGCTTAAAACGTAGAGGGGACTATGATTTAGTCCAGTTCCACAGACACCCAGTATGACACATGTAACAAAACAAGCACAGGACAAAACAACAAGCTCCTGACTCTCAGCCGATCCATAACTTACCCTGCTGTAAAGGCTACAAAGGGAATTTGTAGAATGGGGTGAAGCGTTCCATTTCATTTATATTGTATCGCTTGGTATCCGAGATGAATTCGGGATATAACTTCAGACATACTACAAATTTCATTGATTTATGTTGATTATATATGCTTTAGGTGTATTTTATCTCAACATGTGTTGATAAGGAAAATAATGGTTTCATACAACTACTGAGGAAATTATAACCATGAAGGTATTGACTTTTTATTCTATACTAAGTAACTTGTACGATAAAAACATCTTAAAATTATTTTCACCTAATGCAATTGTATTCATTACTCACATTTTGCATATTGCCTTTCCCATTGCCCACTTTCATTTGTCTCATGTCTAGTTAATATTTTCCTCTTTCTTCTCCTCTTATCCTTGGTAGCTGCAGGGTTAAGAGTTTATTGATAAAAATGGCTTCCCCAGTCATTGACTGACTGCCATGTTGATGTGGGGGAGTATATGATTAGGGTGTGCTTATCTATCCATTAGGCGATTGGGTAGTCTAACCAATCCACAAGAAGATCAGCTAATCTTAACATTATATTGAGTAGATCCAGCAGCGGAATTTCAGAACTTCACCACTAGAAAAGAAGAAGCAAGAGAATTCAACGTGTTCTTTGGGACCAGAGATTTTTGTGACAGTCAGAAAAGAGTCTATGGGAGCAGTAGCCACAGTAGAGAACCAGAAACTTTACATGAAATAAAACAAATCTTGGGATTGTTAAGACATTAAACCAGAGCTAAGAGCCTTTTAGCAAAATTTGTTGGAGGATTGGGGTTTGGGAGCCATAATTGGCAGGACTGAGAACTTCGTAACTTTGTCTTAAAGCCCTAAGGCTCGAGGCAAAGGCCTTTGACTGTGTGGATCATAACAAACTGTAGCTGACTCTGAGGGGAATGGGAATCCCAGAATATTTGATTGTGCTTATGTGAAACCAGTCAACAGAACAGAGCAAGGAAGCACTGCATGGTTCAAAATAGGGAACAGTGTATGTCAGGGATGTGTACTATCTCCTTACCTTTACAATCTATATGCAGAACATATTATCTGGGAGGCTGGGTTCTATGAGGAGGAGTGTGGCATCAGGATTGGACTCATCTACAACCCGCGTTATACAGATGACACAACCTTACTTGCTGAAACTGAAGGGGATCTGATACGTTTGTTGTTAAGCACTGCAGCTTTCAATATGGATTAAAGCTCAACATCAAGAAAATAAAGATTCTCACAATTGGGCCAATTGGCAGTGTTATAATAGACAGTGAAGAGATTGCGACTATTAATAGCTTTAGTTTTGCCGGGTAAGGAGGGACAATCTCCTCCTGTACCAGTCAGATCTGATTTGACGGTACACGCACACAAAAATAATAAAATGAAAATGAAAAAAAAAGAAAAAAATAGCCTTAGTTTGCTTGGCTCAACAATCAACACTCTTGATACTGTTGTTGTTATATACTGTTGAGTCGCTTGTGACTCATATCAACCCTGTGTACAATAGCCCTGAAACCTACTTTTATCCTGTGCTAACCTTGTTGTCTCTGACACATCTACCCTCATTACTCAAGTCACTGAATCAATCCATTTCATTGAGGGTCTTCCTTTCTTGTGCTGTCCCTCCATTCTTTCAAGCATGACATTCTTCTCCAAGGACTGATCCCTCTATGCAAAGTGCTCCAAGTATGTTCGACGAAGCCTCAA